CCCATTTTTTGTGACTGTACATTTTCCATCTCTTATTTCCTTCTTTTTAAATGGGAGCTTCCCCACAGGAGGTCTGCTAAAAAAATCAAGGAGCAAGTAAACCTGTTTTTTTTGTGCTACTGTGGTTCCAGTTACTCACACATTGGTAACCAGTTCAGCAAGTCTTTTGTTTATTATTCTACTAGCTGTGATATTCATTCAGTGTTTCTCAGTTAACACATGGTCCAGAAAAATAAGAAATAATAAATCAAGTGAAGCAAGGAGAGAGGAAAATGTGGAGTTCTTTTTTATTTAGGTACTCTAAATAATCACTATATCTCAATCCTTTCTTGATGTTCAGTATACCTATTTACATTACCATACAAATAAAATGTAGATTAAAATTAATGGGCCCTTTATACTTCAAATCATGCCCAGACAGGATATCACATCAGGCAGATCAAGTTTTGCAACTTAGCCTCAGGTCCAATACATTTCTCAAGTTTACAACTTTTTATCCTAGTGAAAGTAGATCAAATTCAGTTGCACACTACGATTCAGTGTTGTTTTAAAGTACCATCTATTAAGCTAAAAACTGGAAGTATATTTATCAAATGCAATGCTGACATATACAAATACAGCATAATGGTGTTCTAAATACATTTCAGGTAAAGGTAGCTAGAATTCTGAATAACTGGAAGTAGAATTTTTAATTTGTTCTATTTCAACAGATAAAGTATGGCCTGTGATACCACAAAAGAATGTTATTGAGTAAATAGATTCCATTACAGTTAACCACATACATAAAAATATGTCTGTATTTTCTTCAGGAAAAAAAACAGCCAAAACTTATTGGCAGAATTCATGTCTTGTGATTAAAGGCATCAGAAGTAAACATTACGTTATCAGTTAGGGGCACAAAAGTGACAAACTGCTGAGATCAGGCAAGGCCTTCGCTACCAGAGGGGTAAAACAAACTGAAAGGAAGTACATTCTTTCCATGTAACGTCAAAAACCACCAGAGAACTCTGTGTAAATGTTTATTTAATCTGTCCTCAGCAATGTAAAGATTGCTGTTTCACAAATACACACACAAAGTCCCTAACAGCCATGACTAGGCCAGACTGAACTGACTCAAGCGTCCCGGAGGGGCCTTGTTTCATTCCGGCTGGAGCTGGTGTCCAGTGCTGCTGGCTGCTTATTGAAGTAATCTACTTCATGCTTTCTAAAAAGAGATCCAAATGCAGTTCATGAAGAGTTTATTTTTGACCACTGTCAAGTGTTCACAGCAGTGCGGTCTGAGTCCTTTTAAAAAAGTTATCTTCCAGTGCCCGCATGTGAAATCATGAAGCCTCCACTAAGTAAAGCCACAAGGCCGCATGTCCTTAAAGGAATGAACTAATGAGATTAAAAGCAGCTTGGATCAAGCACGGAAACAGTCATGGTAAGTTACAGTACACATATTTCAAACAATAAAGTGTACGCGCTTTGCAAGTATTCAAAACTACAATAATACTCATGTTTTACATTTTAAAGTCACTGATAAGCACATTCTGACAGAGGACAGATGTCAGGTTTATCCAACAGGGCACTAACTTGACATGTTCTAATCAGACAAGACAAACCCATATTAGGACAAAAAGAAGAGCTGCTTGAGTCCATTGATTAGCAGTCATGACTCATGTGGCTCAAAACCACATAAGACAGCAACATCTAATTCATGATACTCATTAAAAAATCCTCTTGGTGAATTGCTTCATCAATTCAAAACGCATAAGCTCTTAAAGAACACTGAAAGAACTTCTTCGTTATTTAACACAGATGTGAATCACGTGGGTTTGAATATCTATGCCCACTAACCAAAATGACATTACACGTCCACGACAGCCTAGCTCAAAAAAAATTACTGGTTACATCTGCTGAAACCCTATACTTTGGAGCTTAAAGGGTGGTCGCCCTGTGCAGCTGTGATGAATGCTGCTGGTTTTGCTGTGGATGGTCCGGACTAGAAACTGTTCCTGTTGCTAACGTGTTCGGAATCCAAATGCCAAAAAATCCTATTTCTGTTTGAAGGTGTGTATGAAGCTCAGTTTCAAGTGTTGGCTTCTCTGGCCAATATGACATTTTTGAAAGAAATCACTGATATATACAGTATGTCCGTCTCTTTCAACTCACTGCTGAGTCAAGTCCTCTCCCACATTCTTCTGCCTTCGTCTGTCTAGTTCTTGCAAACTAGGTGATTTCATACGTATTTACAAATAGATGTACGTAACATACTGTAAATAGCACTCTGTATTTTTGCCCCTTTTTATGAAGGAAATTAATTTCAGCTGTGTAGCAGCACCATAAAATGGTGAAATTTATGAACTAGTCACCTGAGCTTATCTGCCACAAAGATGACTCTGCGCTCCAGCAGCAGAGAGGCAAAAACCCTGATGACCTGCCGCACACTCAGGCAGCTGAAGAGGCTGTCAAAGTCCACGTGCTCCAGCCGCGAGTCCATGGGTCGACGCAGCTCAATCACCTGCAACGACAGCGTCCTGCCTAGTCAGCACCCAGGCACAGGCCACATTCACACTGAGCTCAGTGCGGCCCAGCCAAGTCCTACTAGAAAAGGCTCCGAGCCGTAGCTCCTCTTCACGATGGGACTGCTTCAGTCTACAACCCTCATGTGATTGATGCCAGTCGAAGGGCAGAGCCACTCTCAGCAGAGCAGAATAATAAGACAGTGCCCAGTTGTCTATCTCAAGGCTGGCCAGAGATCACACCCTGGGAAGGACAATTTAAAGTAGCAAACCACACCTGTCCTGTATGTCCTTAAAAATATCAACAGAAAACAGATGCTCAATGCCAGAAGTAAAAACCAGGACCTGGCTGTGAGGAAGCAGAACTAAGCACCATACATCTATTTAGAGTCTTGAACTATTTTTCTTCTGGTATTGAATGTGCTGTGGTTTGAAGTATTAACCGTTTGGTATTGTGATTATTATCCTTGCGCTTATCTTATCTCCTGTCTCTCTAGGGCCTTGCAACAGCAGTGATTAACATGTATTCTAAGTGTGTAAATCTCAAATTAATACATAACTGGATATACAACAGGCCAAAGCCACCTGGTTTCCAGATCCCAGAGACAAATACACACTAACCTCATTCCCTGCTCCTGGCAGGAAGGTCCGGACTTTGATAGTCTTCCCGGGTGCAGGGAAAGGGGACTCCATCAGACTCCTCATGAAGGGATACACCAGGGCGGCAGAAATCCCCCTTCGCCTCTCCACCTCATCCAGGATCTAATGCAAAACAAAGAGCACAGTCACAACTCTTCCTGGAAAATCCAGGTCAACCCAGAATGCCAAAGTTTTTCAAATCTGTCTGGTCCGACTTTAAATGCTGCTGTTGAATATATAAATAAATAAATCACTGTCATCTTCATTGCATCTAGACCAGAGCACAGTAACGACAAGAGAAGTGTAATCATTTCTGTAGCTACCCAGAAGAAGGGCATAATCACAATGTACAAACTTTCTTGGCATGATTATCCTTTTTCAGAAAGATTACAACTTTCTGGTTTAACTCATGAAATTGTAGTAAATCTGTCTAACCTTCTGATGTTCCAAAAACCAACTGTCATTTAACCAAAACATTAGCCTCTCTGGAATACGCATGTTTAAAAACTTTCTATATACTGACTCAGTTAGAAATCAAATACTGGAGGATTGTGCAGCATCATTTCTAAATGCTGTAGGAAACCTTTTTTTCGGCAACACCGCCAGTCAAAATGGTGCATTAAAATGTATGTGATACACTCTCAGGCAAACCAGGAGCAAACATTTCATTTCACCAAGAAAACGAGTTTTTGTTTAGACTTTGTACACCTTCACTTAGTTTTCAGTACCAGCCACAAGAGCCCAGGGCAGCACACATGGATCTGGGAGCAAGTGTCTCCGTCATTCTGAAAGTTATTGCCTCTCTGATCTCAAGCTCTAAAGAGGCAAGAAAGTTCCCGGACATACCGCTCCGAGTGCTTCATCATTCGCTGTGATGACGTAAGAGCTTCTTTATCTAGACATTCACATCAAAGGTCAGTACACAACTTTGTGGGACTATCTTAATCAACCATCGGCTCGCTACCACTCCTTCTGGAATACAGCACGCCCCCCACACCCCAGGTCAATCAGAAATAGATTTCGAGCTATTTTAATAATAGTCTCTATACATTACAAAGCCTACATACAGTGGAGCACATAAGACTTATTTCCTATTAATTTACTGTACTGGACCTCATGTGAATAACCTACTGCAGCAAGGCAATGGCACTTGCTTCATAAGGTAGTTTAACAAACAAAGCAATGAGCCTTACATGCTGTGTTATTGACAAGATGAGAGTAGCCAATCATCGGAAGATCTTGTTTCATGCCAAAGCGACATATTATTCCTAAAACCTTTATAACTGATTAAAGGCACTGGTACTTTCAAGGCATTCATTGCAAAGCTCTTGATCCTTCCTAGATGCCCTGCTAAAAGAAAAATATTTAACCTTCAATCTATCAGTGGTTTTTATCTGCTGTGAGATTTGCACAGGTTGTTTGGAATGTTTCTTGACATAAAGCGGAGAGGAGCCATGACCTCACCTTCGAGAACAAGTCGAAACACCCAAGCCTGCTGATGACACAGTAAACTTCAGGTAAGCGAGGGCCCTTCCCACTAGGCTGAGAAAAGAAAAACAAAATCTCACCATTACCTGGAACAGCGTCCCTGTAATAGGTTTAGTGAAGAGCCAGCACAGTGCGTGTATCAACAGTGACAAATTTGGAAATGAAAGACAGAACAGAGATGCCAAACTGCGTTTCCAATATCCGTAGAGATATAAAGCACTAATTGAACTGAAACATTTTATAAGTACATAAAGTCAGAGAAAAACACTCATTATGCTAGAGCAAACATCTGAAGTTTATTGGAGAAAGCTAAATCTTATCCAAAGAGCGTCATGTTTTAATTTTATGTTCTTCAGTTTAAAAATGTGGAATCACACTTAAATCTTCTTCTGTTTAGACCTGCAATCTGAATTTGCTGTTTGTTACTCAACTGCAATTGGTCTTACTTCTACATGTATGTCCTGAGGGGAGGGTGAAGACCATGATTGCGAGGACAGTCCTGGAGGGCCCATGTTTCTGCCAGTTTGCATTCAAGCTCAGTTATTACCGAGCTAAATTGGCTGCTGTCTGACTTAATTGGACTAAATTAACAGCTTCTTCCAGTTCTTCACATACTGGTACTTGATACAGACCTATAAAACCTGCAGACACAAGACCTTCCAGGACCAGGGTGGGACAGTTTTGCTGTACACTTTCCTCTTTTGTACCACTGAAACTAGGAGAATAAACAGTGACCTCACTTGAAAAACAGCATTATGATTACAAGCAAGTGAGCTCCAAGCAAGTGCTTTCACTAGTTAGAACGTGAGAAAGGTTTGTAAACAAGAAGTAGCTGAGCCACTTTGGAAGCTCTACAGTATGTCTACTTTTTCAAATGAAGATAACAGTATAAAGTATTTATGTTTAGGGTATTAATCCCACTTGCATAAAACAAAGGAATATAAGTACATAATTCATGTGATTAACAGATAAACCTTTTCCTTATAAAGGAACTGTTATGAGACCCATTTGACAAAGCCACTGACTCAGATCACCTGTGAAACCTATGGTCCTGATGTTGTGCACTCACGTCTGTGCCATGTCACTAGTTGACTGTGAAGGCACTTTTCCAAGTGGCAACGCAAACTTGGACGAGCTCCACCAGAATGGCCACTCTAGGGTCTCCCCTACAGAGATCCATTCCTGTGACTTGCTGGCTAAATGCTGACTTGCAGTGACCACAGTGAGGAGTGTGCAGTCCATCTCGTAGGCTCTGGTCTCCTGTTATGCGTTCTCAACCTTTACCAGAAGACCATGCCTAATTGTCTCATTTTCTCCTGATGAGTACAGGAATTTGAGCCTTAAAGCCAAGTCATCTGAAATTGGCGACTCCAAATTAGGTGGATTTAAATATATTAAAAAATGGCAAACCCACATAGAAAAAAACACATTTTCCACCTCTATTTATATTGCAGATTGTTAATCACATATTCAGACATGGGAAGCCTTTAATCTAGTGAAATATTCTGCCCATTATGAAACCTCCACAGGTGCATGCCTTGTATTCATGTGCAGGAAAAGATTTTTCGCTAAATGAACCCAGATGAGTCTATTTCTGGATTAAACTTGTGTATCTCTCCATCTTGACAAGAAAAAAGTTGAATCTGAATCCTTTTGTCCATATTAGGTATGAAAATCTTTCAAAAAGCACAGTGATTAAACAAAGTATGTGGGGTTTGGTTAAAATCACAGTGCTGAATCCTAAGGAATGCTGTGAATATGCCAGCTGTTGGATTTTCACCAGGCAGAGAGCTGAGTTAACAGGAAAAACACACACACACCACTCCTGGGGCATCTGCAAGTTCTGAATTAACAGCTACTTTATAAGATCACACTCTGGATTACAGGTTTGGAGTGCAACTTTCTTCAAAAAGAATGTTGCCATCAAACATAAACTGCACAGTACATACTGACAAGGGCTTGCCAAATACAGGATCACATTTGACAAGAGATCTTAAAATATTTTGGATTATGCTTGTCAGTGACAAATTTGGATGTTTCATTGTGATTTTAATGCTTCCATGAGAAATGCCCATTAAGTTCAAGTCATCAATTTTATGACAACAGAGGCAAAAAAAGAAAGCACATAAATTATACAAGCAGTGAAAGACTGACTGACCTTAAAACAGACTGAATTTACCTCTTCTTTCAGTGAAATAGACCCCTGCATCTTTCCTGTTGAAATTTCTATCCAAAGAAAGCCTTCACACAAAAACACTGATGCATTTTAGTATACCTACACAGCAAAATTAATAGAAAGACATTAATCTAATTAAGAATAATAGACAAAACAGAATAAAAATACAACTTACCAGTAGTCTTCTACAATACCCAAATCTTCTGCTGCCATCTTCTCCAGTTAGCATGAAGGAGAAAGTCTCACTGGATTAGAAATAATGAAATCCATAGGTAGCCTAATTATTTTCACATCTTTTTTATAAAGAGTCCCTGTTTCTAATAAAATGACTACATAACCTTGATAGTCTACAAAACGATTTATGTAAAAAGCTATTTTCTTTTTTGTTTTCAACATAAGCATTATAAAGATAAAAAACATCAAACCTAACAGCAGAACAACAGAACACCACAGAAGAACATAGAAGAATGTACAGTTTCCAGCAGGAGAACCGTATTAATAGTGTTTGTGTGGCCCTGCGTGTACTGTACTGTACTGTATGTATTATGTGCAGCTGGACTTCAGATCTGAATTCTCTCAGGTATATTTAAGCACCTGACTCACACAGGTCACACAAGGAAAACTGACAAATACCCCACACCGATTACATCAGGAATGACATCACTGAAATTGTCTCATCTTACACAATGAGTACATCTTTCCTTGCCAAATCCCGTGGCAGTCCTAGAGAACCGACAGGCATGTGTCACAGCACGTGTGGTCACATGGGTGATTTGAACGGCCATCTCTCTGGTGCCTCTGAGTGCCTGACACCACACAAGAGCTGTGGACAAGCACAGGGTGCCAGGACACCTGCCTCTTGGCCTGTGTGGTTTCGACTTTCTGGAGAGACCTGGGAAGTGAAGTGATCATATTAAACCCTGTCTTACACTCCAAGACCCGCTCCACCTACCTGTTGTATTCTGACACTGGGTTCCAGTCCTTGGCATCGGGAAAGCAGAACTGAGGGATGGCTTTAAGACGCTGCTCTGCCTCTCTCATCTGTTTGGTGGGCCTCTCTAGCTGTAAGAAGAGGATGTGTCTGTCAGTCAAGACCTCCTGTTCAGTTACAATACCACAAAGTTCGAGAATCGTGTGTCTTGACCTGTGGGGAGAAACTCAGCGGCAAGATTTTGTGGGATCTGGGAATTAGTTCATAACTCTTTGGTGACCAGTAGTTTGAAATGTTAGTATTCTTATACCACTTAGGATCAGTCACTGTGTCATTCATCATCTTATCTCCCTGCATTCCTGTTTCAGCCCAGTTCTAAATTGTTTCAGGCCATTCCCTGGCAAGAAACTGAACATGTTTCAATTCCCAAAGGGAGAGTACTGTTGTGTAAAACAAAAAGAACTCAATTTTCTTTGAGTTAACTACATAATTACCTACCATAGCAACAGTTTCCTGGTTAGAATACTTACTGTCAATAAAGCCTTCTGAACTTTAGTCCATGCTTAACTGCAAGAACCCACCTCCACTACTGCAGCACTTTGAAGGACTAGACTAAAAGGACTGAATCTCAGTATTCCGAACTCAGAGTAATCTATACTTCCTTAATTGAACTTACCTCAGAACAAAAAAAAAATAAAAAAATTAAAAAATGAACATTGCACGCCAATTTTCCTTTAACAGACCAAAATTAAATGAAGCTTGGAGGGCAAAAATGCTCATTATCCATTTGTAAATACACTTTAGGTTACATAAGTTGGTTTTAAAAAAGGTTCTGAATTTGCTATTTAGATTCTTGATCATGTAAAGACAGATTTATTAAAACTTCAGAGAAAAATTGGCTTCATTTTTTTTTTCCTTTTAGGAAACTTACACTGCCAGTCTTGGGGCAAACATCTAAAGACAAATACAGAAGTTATTAAATCTCTTTTTTATTCTTAAAATATGGGTGGAGGTTAACCACACTGCACAGTTTCTCAAGGACAGTTAGACAAGAGAAATCACTTCTAATCCAATACCCCTACAAAGAAATTACAATGCAACCTTGGTAGTGGCAGGATTTGAATAAAAATGGATTCCTTCCCTGACAGTCCCTAGAGATTCACCTTTGGGAACTGGTATGTGACTTCAGGGGTGTAGGAGTTCTTGGTGGGCTTTTTCTTCAAAGATACAACAACAAAGTATTCGAAGAGTTCGCGCTCCTGCCACTCAATGAGCTGGAGTTCCAGAGTGCGGTAGCTGGGCGCTCGTCTCAGCATAGACTGCAGCTGGAGCAGACGCTGTGTGTGCGCTGTGAGGAGAAACACAGGACTAAGGGCACGACAAGCAACAGCTTCTCACAGCTCTGAAATACAAGGTTCGGGCTCTTACAGTGTGTGGTAAAGCATATAATGCATTCTCACAAAGAATACGCCTTTTTAACCCTGACCCAGGCTCTTTGAGTTTAATTCTATATATAGTTATAAATCTAAGCAGAAAGATCTAATAATATTTTATGCCTTCTGCTGACAGAGCCTTATAAAATCCAGATATCTCCAAAAATAAATTTTACAGAATGAAGAACTGAATCTTCTAAATTAAGAGCCTCTTTCTTCTGTATGAAGGTCATAAAAACATACATAGAACTGTTGCATGGATTATATTATATCATATATATTTTGTGTGAAATATAATGGTGACATCGTTTCGTGCTGTTGTACTTTGACCACCATTAATCCCAAATCTAGATTTTTCACACATTTTTTAATGGATTGTTGTTCTATAACATTTATCAATAACCCTTAAGAGGTTACCGTTTCTGCACAACACACCAAAATTATTTAGCTGAAATACGGACTGTAGTGTATCTATACTTTTTGGATACAGTGGGAAAAAATAAGGCGATTAGCCAGTAATCATGTCATAATGCTATGTTTTTACAATTTAATATGAAAATGTAAAATGTTTACTATACTGTACTATGATAAAAGACAATTATGTGGTATAATCTCTGCATGGATAGAAAGATCAAAATAATCAGTTTCTGAAACTTCTGCATTTTATAAATGATCTAGTTTTTAATTGCTCCGTACATTCTGTTTGGAGGAAACAAAAACAGTATTTTTCTCCAATTTTGAAAACATCACATATTTTCCACGTTTATGGTTACAAAACATTCGTGTATTGTGTTTTAAGTTGTCGAGAGTGAAATGCAATCCATCTGCTCTTGTTAAACGATTCTTTCCCAACATCAGACACGGCAAATGATCACAAGAGTATTTGTGGTTTGCATATTTTAGAGACAGAACAACAATTCCAGTCTGCTAAAGACAGAGAAACTTTGTCAGAGGCAAACAGCCACGTCCCTGAGGGCTTACAGTTCGTGTCCAATGACCTCTCACCTTTGAACCTGTCATCAGAGTCACTCTCACTCTCACTGTTGTCATCTGTAAAATACAGATAGGAAGGGTGCTAATATTAACTCAAAAAGCCTCATCAAACAATGAAATTCTACTGTATGTTTTTATAATAGAAAATTTTCTAGGTGGTGTTGTCTTATGTTTTAATGTTATGTACTGTATCATCTATACACTCCTTTAATTAATTCAGTCATTTTTCCAACTGTAGTATTCTGACTTTTAGGTTATTTACACACATGATATAGTACATAACATTCAAACACAAGACAACATCACCAAGAAAATCCTCATTATCCTTGATATTATGGACAGTGTCTGCCAGTTCATTTTCATTTAACATTTAACAGTGACAGTTTTGTTTTAATCTCAGAGATGGAATATTAGACACACAAAGTTGCTACAATTATACATTTGAAAATGGCAAACAGAATTTAAGTAATGTGTAGAACTTTAAAAAAAATGTAAGATCAAGAAACGAGGTGGGTTCAGTACAAAATAAGCATCTTAAACCATACCTCTCAATGACGAAACTTCAATATTTGATAATGAAAGTTTCTTGAGTCTCTTCTTCCCTCTTTTTGTATTGTAGATGGAGTTAATCCTGCAGACGAGCTAAAGAGTAAAGTTTCAGTTATTAAGCATCTTTAAAGGCAATAAAAAAGTATATTCTTAATTGTATAGACAATGTGTTAATATGATAAATGATTAGTCTTCTAGTTTGTAATATTTTGTTTTTACAATTTCACCAGAATTACATTTCCAGAGTAAAAAAATATATACTTATGTATATTTTGTAGATACTGAGACCAGCAGGAGTCCTATACAAATTTACTTTGGATTACATGCAAATTCAACAGAAAACAGACTTTCATGCCAAATACTTCCAAGTAGCAGACATTTTTGTTCACACACAGAAATGTGTATGGTGTTTCATTTTAATGTATTTATGAATATCATAATGAGACATTGTTAATAGTAGGAAGCACCCACAAGAAAACCTCAGGTACAAATTACGAGAACAGGTCAGAGGGGAAAAAAAACATTTCTAGCATAGCAGGGACTGAAGCTTTTTATTCTGTAGATCTGAACAAAAACACCAATGGCATACTGTACAGAACTAGGTTTTAGAAAACAACTTGGGCCAAATGAAAGGATCAGGACTCAAATGAAAATATCAGAATTATTTTAACTAATCTTTCTTCTGCACAGCACTGAATTCCATTTTTTTTAAATACATTCACTGATTATACAAATAGTTTTTACATAAGAAGACTCTGAACCATATAGGCAGTTGTGCAAAAAAGAAGTCAGACTGCAGCTGGGGTATGCGAAAAGACAAATTCCTAATGCAAGAAATTGTATAGGGCTAATAAAGAAACATTATCATTATCATTATCATATGATGTATTTAAATGCAGGTTCCCTCCTCTACAGACAAATAGCACTTACAGATAATCAAAGAAGATACATTTTGGGAAAACTGTAACTCAAACAATGATCTCACCACTGAAGGATTAGATAGAACACAAGACGATAAGATCTGGATTTAATATCTTTGTGGTATAATGCCTGCTGGTGTTTTCATTATTTAATCTAAAGGGGAATGTGTTCATTGGCTTTATTCATGTTGGTATTTTTTAGAAAAGTTAAGCACCTGAAATGTTTTTCTTTAAGAATTAGAAATCGACTTAAGAAGCACTTTCCTTACATCTTCTTGAGGATGTGTAAGACTACACAAACTTTAAAAAGGTTACAAATGAGAGAACTGAAACCGACCAATGTTTCACAAGGAACAAGGACATCCAATAATCAGATGCTGTGTGAATATTTATTAAATATTTAAGGATAATAAGTTTTGGCTTAACCTGTTTAGTTAAGGAGTAGCCTCCTGACCACAGGACAACGAGGCTGAGAACCCCCAAAACAAACCAGTGAACCCCAAAAATCACCAAGGTAAAAAAAAAAACAGAAATAGCACTATGACATGGAAACATTACATTAAATAGAGAAGGCAGACATGAAAAGCAGTAGGACCCCTGCTGGCTGAGTCTGAGTTAGGGTGCTGAACAGATCCAGGCCCGAGGAGATAGCATCAGGAGAAGTAGGGGCTGAGAGGGAGGAGACTGGGGCCTTGCTAGTGTCAGGAGGAGGAAAGGCAGACATTAATGTGTAGGACGGCATCTGACTAAGCTGAAGGTAGGACGTCTGAAAGACAGACGGACAGAAACTGAAGAGAAAGCAGCAGACAGAGATTAAATGAATGAACAGGAGGATGAGTAATCAAGTGGGAGAAGGGACAGCAGAGATAGATGACAAATAACAGGATGAACAGAGCCAGACTGTGAAAAGGGAATGTTAGGATAAACAAAGAGGGGGGCGAGGTTGAATGGAAGGTCCTGGGGTGGTAGCAGGGGCAATCCAGTGTTCCTTTTGATAACTGGCATCTAGCTGCATGCTGGGTGATGTGACTGTAGGAGGCAAAAGTATACTGGATGACAGAGCTTACTTGTTATGGAACTCGGAGAGGCAGAAAGAAAAAACAAAAATTTGGTGCATTCGCTTTTGAAGGGAATGCTGTGATTGTAGGGAGTCCTTTGATGTCAGGGACTACAGGATTAGGAAACGCGGAGAAAATGTTGCAGGAACAGAGGAAGACAAAACAGCAGGATGATTACGAGAAGCAGGAGATTCTTGGTTGAGCCCAAACATTTTTGTGCTGATCTGCAAATCCATGGTGAAGAGGAATATGTTTGGAAAAGGACACAAGTTTCTTTCCTTCTATCTCGACACTGTTTTCTTGTTCAGTTTAAAAAGTGCACAGAGATGTGTAGAAGTTGCCTTTTTCTTCCATATTTTTGGTTGTTTAGTTCAACCAATCATATCATTCAATCATAAGAAGCATGGTCAATGTGTTAAATTAAGCAGAAGACAAAATGAGAGATTGGAAGAATACATTTCTTTACATTTTTTGTAGTTTGGAGCATGGTCCACATTTAGATAAATGCAACCAAAATGCAAGAGATCTGTAAGTAGCAAAATTCGGCAATGAATGTTTTTTAAAACAGGTAGAAGAAATCTGTTTTGCCTGCCGCTATCTCTCCCGAACATCAGTTAAGAACTTCCATTTCTTTTCTGAATACTGCCAGCTTGTTCCAGATTCCCACCACTCTTTCAGTAAAGAAACATCTCCTATTCTCAGCCTTTAATGTCCTGCTTTACTGCACACAGACAGCAATGCAAGGAGATAAAAACCCTAAACAGCAGGAAAGTGTATTTCCTTTTAATATTTGCTCTTCACACAGAAAACAACAGTCTGCATCCACTTGAGATGTTACCAACTAAAGCCTGTGAATGTCCTGAACGTCATCACAGTATTAACCGAGAGCCCTGGTCTTGAAAATGGAGCCCTGCGAGATGCAGGAGTGGAGGTTCTTACCTTGGGAACTCTCCTATGACGTCGTGTGGCGAGAGTGTCACTAGCAGTGCTCAGGCTGTCGTCCAGCAGGCTGAGCTGTGGCAGGAGCAGCATGTCATCATGGCTGTGCCTCTTCGGCAGGCGGGACATCCGGTGGCTCTTCCTGTCCGATGGGCCAGGCAGGCGCAGGGACTGGCTGCTAGGTTTGGAAGGAAGCTTGAAGGGAACACATTTGTCCCAATATAATTGCAACTCAAGATTTCACTTTGAAAATGCAACTATTTCTCTTGTTAATGTATGCCAATGCACGCACATGCCTGCATGAAAGCAATGTAAACTCAGGCCTATAAATATTGAAGTCTCAAGGTCTGATGCGTGCTCCGTTTTTTCAAATGATCCTCACATGATATAGAATCCGTGGAGTACAAATGCAAATTTCACATGACTAAGCCGAACACCATTTTTAGCTTTAGTCACTGAACACTTTATTCATACCAGTATCATTTTTTAAGAACTCTTCCATGGGCCATTAATTTATCAAGTTTAAATAAAAACTTAAATTCATACCACTCATTTTGTAAAAGAAGAAGCAGACACTAAACATGAACACGACTTACCCAGATTGGGTACTTAAGATGGAAGGGGTCAAATGTCAGATCTTAAAAGATTTCCTTCAGCAGCAAACTAATGCATTTTAAACTTTGTAAAAAAAAAAATGCTTCAGAAACCTTAGTCCTTACAGCTGCAAGATGTTTTTTTCAGTTTTACTGTTTTTAAAAAGGAGAAAATTCTATGATTATTCCGCTAGGCATTAATTACCTGGGGAGGAGTAGTGTACTTCCTGTCCTGTGGGGTCCACATCCTGTTCAGCGGGTCGAGGGAGTTCTCAGATACCTTGGATTTTCGGCCTGCACCTCGCCCCTTCAAGTCCACGTCCTCGTATGGGTTCTCCTTTGGGGACTCTGTGGGGAGTTTGGAAGACACAACTTTAAAAGAAAACAGCCTGCAGAAAACTTGTTTTAAGAGGAAGAAAGGAGAACTTTAAGAAAGAAGGAAAAAAAAAACAAGCACCCTGGAGTGGAATCTCCTTGGTTTACAGTTCTATGAGTCATGCGGGAAGGTTTTGGAACAGATTGCTGGCTGCTTTGACCCTCATTTGTGTTGTCTTTGAAAACAGTTACTGTTGGGCAAAAGCTTGAAGGCTGAACTGTATTTACAGGATACTGGGATGATCATGAGTCAACACACTAAGATGCTGACTGTCTGAAGGAGGCCTTCTCGTTACGCACTCCCGTTTCTTTATTTGGACAAATTCAAGGGCTTTTCACCAGACAGCTCTATGCAAACAGCCACTGAGTTCTGGTGCACCGTGCTCTCCACCTGTCAACACACTCTAAAGCAGACAGGTCAAGGCCAAGGACCCTGAATGAGCAGGCTCTCTCTGTGAGCCTGCTGCTAATGACACGAAAACAAAGGGGATTTCACACGGTGGGCTCACTTGGAAGACAATCAACCTGCGTGGAACTGTATTCCTCCCCGTACATTTGTTTTTCTCGCTGCCCGATTCCTACATGTTTAGGTACTGGCAGCATCAGAAATCGTTTACAAGAAACGCATTATAAGCAATACCCCCATGCACAAAAAAAGTCAGCATTTTCTTGAAATCAACCAATTTGTGCACAACAAATAAGATACTTGCAATGATTAAATGACAGAGTGCTCCCAATGTTGTCCACAAGTTACTAGATTTTAGTATGTGTAATTCAGTGTGTTTCCAGAAATAGCATACGAACTTCAAAACAGCATTTGAGCCAGCTTGCCAGTAGAAAATATAGCTTCCTGGGAGAAATTACTGAGGGTTTAAGGAGGCACTGTTCTCATTTCTTCATTTAAAGTCACAGCCTCATATTTTATTTGCTTTTTCCCCTCATAAAACTGAAAGTCATTTGTCTTGCTAAACTCTCATAACTCCCAGTGCACTCTGCTGATCTGCTTCCAGTTCTTTCTGTCCGTATTGACACAAAGAGATCTATGCAACTTGGAGGAATTTATAGTTAAAGTGCTGGAACACTACAGCTTTCTCCATTGTTTTCACACGGAGATTCAGCAGCCTCCTTATCTGGGGATCACTGTATTTCTCTGCAGCACGCGGTGCTTCCAAAACAGAGACTAATATGCTACCCGCCAACTAAGCAATACATTTTCCTGTGGGGCACTTTGATATCGGTTAGGCTTACTGAAGTTTTTAATTACATCATAATTCAAATGTTCTCTCACAGAATAATTTAAGGACTATGCATTATTGTGATGCAAATATGAAAAAAGGGAAAATCTGCTCTTTAATCATAAACTATGGGTCATTTCCAAGATGGCATGGATATGGAATTGTATGTCATTAACTCACTTTAAGTATAATTTCTGCATATATACAACAGGGTCTTCTAATGAAGAAAAGAACATTAAGTATACATTTTTTAAAAATAAATTGCTACAATATGTCAAAGTTTCTTTGATTTACATAGAAATAATAACTCCAAAATGTGTTAAAAATGTTTGACCAGCATTACTGTTATAAAGCACAACTGAAATTGACTTTTTTATCGTGACTGCCAACAGGGATTATCATCATGGATGACTATAAATTAAATTTGCAATCAGACTATTATCAAAATTTTGCAGGCAGTAAGTTTAGTGGGTTTAAAACTGTAAATGGAATTTAAACTGCAGCATAATGAAACTCAATGCCTTCCTTAGTGCACTGTTTGTGCAGGTTTGTGTTGCTTTCGTTTCCAAGATATAGCGCCTTATTTCTTTGGGGGTGTGAGGATGCATGTATAGAGCGCACAGGGCATTAATATTCCCATCAGGACGGTGCAGCAGAACAAAAGCAGTCTCACTCATTTCTGCTTGTGCTCCGTTTGTGCTGGTTTGTGCAGAAAGGGGCATTTGTGCTGCTTTTGCCCCCAAGATATAGCGCCATCTGTTTTCGAAGCATGATGTCACTCAGCTCCCCAACAACAGCAACAAGAGTCAAGTGAGTCCCCGAAAAAATAAGGCAACGAAGGCAGCAGAAACAGTAGGGCACAAACAGAGCAGTAACGAACGCGGTGGGTCTCACTGACTGTGCCGTCTGTAGGGAGGCCATCTTCAAGTAGCTTTCTCCCTTCCCTGTTTAAAAAAGATTACGATATTTTTGCTATTGTTACAATATTTTGCTACAACATTTTCTGTAGGTTTTCCATTCTGGTATCCAGAGTGCAAAATGTTTTTTGAATCTTACTTGACAAAATTCCACTATTTGGTTGGAAACTCAACAGGATTTAAGTAGCCTATCAAACTGTATATCATTAGTGTAAAAAGCATACTAATGAGCCATGTGTGCTCTATACACGCTTTGTAATATAACTGCATAATAACAGTGGTCTAGAGAAATGATGCGTTTCCTTCACTGCTGATGGAGCAGAAAGTGCTTATTAACTGCTCTTGTTACCACATTCCAAATAATCGTTGGAGACAGGGCACACCTCACAAGTGTGCACTTCCACTTCAAGAATGCCTTTCTGCCTAGAGAAATCGACTTCTCAAACAAGTAGGGCAATAGCTGGATCATAATTAAACTGCTAAGGAAAACAGATGCATTAAAATATGCTGCATGTGCAAATGCACAAAATCTATAAACTGAAGTGTGGTTTAATCATTTAAAATTGTCCCTCAGAATTGTGATAAAGCTATTTTAAGCCCATCAAACAATGTACACCTTAGGCTAAAACAGGCATTTTAATGCAATTTAATACAATACATGAAGTAGAAAAGTTCAGCATATTAATATCAATTTAAATCTGTATTCTGTAATATGTAATTAAAATTTTAATTAAAAACTTGGGATAATTAGTGCAACAAATCCATCCAGAATTGTTACATACTAGAATAACATACAATTGTGTTCTAATTTTAATGACTGTACAAATTACTTCAGTACAAGTTTACTACAGTACAGCCATAATCAACTAAGATTATTATCTTTCCACACAATACACATACAGTACATGCCTCAGTGCTAAAATAATTAACTATTATTAGAGTTTAGGGTGTTGTTTGTGCTACAGAAATAACAGACCCTTTCTTATTTCTTAAATGCATTTAATTATTTTGTACATTTCACATTTCTTTTACATTTTTATTGCATAATCATGTCACCTTCCATTATCAGCTGTTTTCAGCTTCTACTGATCAGACTAAGACCAGCTGTTCAGTTAGATCTGTAGGGTCAGTGCAAATTACAGCTAGACACAACAATTCAGCAGATAATAAATGATGGCAGCTGAAAGGAAATTATTTAAAGATGTATCTTACAGTAGTTTCTAAATTTTGGAAAACATCTGATATCATGTTGACACATTAACAATGCACATCCAGTAAAACTCAAGCACTCAATTTACGTATTGATTGATCGTCTGATTACTTGCACATTAGGAGCAGCTTTAAATTTCTAGTCTGACACAAGTAGTGTTTTTTCTTTCTGTAGTTTTCTTAGTTGACATCCCTTTAAACTTACCTTTGGCCTGGTGTGTTTCTCAATTAAACCACGAAAAATCTGCTAATTACAAAATCTGCTTTTCACTGAACCTATTGGCTGCTGAGCATTTTGTCTCAATCCTTCCTTCATGCACTGATCACTAATCCCAGAGCCTGTTTAATTCACATTTCAGTCCGGCTTTTAACCAATTATGTACTACAGACATTCTGTTTTTGCCAGTTGTGAAAATAGCACCCTAATTATGCATTTTAAACAGATTTCGCAGAGTGTTCAATTATCACAACTACAACATTAAAAATAATTGTTTAATAATGCTAAATAATTCATCATATTCCCAGAGGACAATAAAGATGTTTGCTAAATTTGGATCTAGTGATCTACTGATCCAAGGATTTCTAAGTACCTTTTAAAGGGATTTATGCAGTTAGAAAATATATGCAGAAGATATGTAAAAAAAAAGTCCATATGTGCTGCACTATTAGTTTATTTATATGGTCTATATACACTTCAGTCTTTAAAAACAGAAAGGATTGAGGACAATATTGCTTCTCTAGATGCCTATGAAATCCCTAAACACTAACATGAGCAATAATTTCAGACATTTATCAAAAAGCAGAATTGCAGCATGATGTTTACCATATATGAACAAAGAGCACTTTTATTCTATTCAATAGAAGTTCTATCTGCAAGACGTTATGTAATTCATAAACCTGAAAAGGGAATCTGACATCTTTAAATCAATGCAAGAATGTCCCTTAAGTCATATGAAACAGAGATCTGATTATGTCTGCTTTGGTCTAATTAAAAATCCTTGTCAGTAGCCACTGCAGAATATTTCTCCAGGAAAACTAGAGTATGTGTATTATTCAGTCAAACAACACACTAGTACAATACTTTTAAACACAAGGTATAGCATGGGACATCAGCGGGGCTTGGGGCAGTAAACAAGTAAAAAAAGTCAATCAGAATATGGACGGCAGGTCTGGAAGGGATTAAACAAACCTTTCAGGTCAAATCAAAAACATGCTCGATACCTTCTAGTTTGGAATAGAAAGTTATAGGACTCCTACTGGAGTTATGGAATAAGTCAGAAATCTTTGTTCAATCACAGAATATCTAGATTGTAAATGGCAGTACAATGAGATGTCAATTGAAATGTATGTGTGTATGTATCTGTTTATACCTTGTATCTGAAACAAGATTTCTAATTTATTCAGTTAAATTGCTTGTCTTTCACTTTATTGATCACATTCATTCTTGCAGGTGGGAGCTGGGTAGTTGAATTAAGCAATTTAATATACAGTGCCAACACTTCTGCCTTTGAGTGTGTGTCTTTTAGAGCTTATATTATCAACCATAAGTGAAATTAATTTATAAACCACACACAGACTTTGCTTTCTCAGCACCCTGCTCTGAGAGGGTGATCGGTTCTCTCAAGATCATTAATCAAACTCTCTGAACTGCACTAAAGGTACTGAAGAGACAAGAGATTTGTTAGCATGTGCACATGGCATTTATCTGTTTTAAATTCAAAGTAAAGAATTCAGAAGACATTAAAATCATTTAAATCAATTATTTCAATTATTGCCTATAAAGAGACTTAAAAAACATTTAAAAATCCATTTTGAATACAAGGTGATTTATTTTTCAGGAGAAATTTCTCATTTGCATTTCCATTGTTAAGATGTATAGGAAAAAAAGTGGTTTTAAAATTGGTGATACACCACAGACCTAAAAACATAAGTCATGAAAGCGAATTCTCAAACACTAAAAGACTTTCAGAGACAAATGAAATCATCACTCAGTAAACAGATGAACATTTTTCCTTGTTTCCTTTGTTAGCCTTACAATTCCAATTATCTTGGAGAAGACTTTAGAATGGAATTCCATTTGGTGACCAAATCTGTACCGGAATGAATAAGCCTGACGTTTGGCTTTGACCAAGCTGCTCAGAGAGATCTGCCACATGAGGGGCCTTCAGGGTGCTGTATATTTCACTAGTCTCACTTCATTTCCTAGCAGAAAGGAATCCAGCTAATAAAACTCAGTGCACGACATGCCAGTACTTGGTCACACTCAGCGGACAGAAATGTGAACTATTCTGAGAATACAGAAAAGGTTTAAGTGTCACTGTGAACAGCAGGACCTGAAATTTCTTGCTACAGGTCAACTATTTCCAAACAGGATACTCTTTCTTTTGAGCACACTATCGAAATCTAATTAAAATTAAACAATTCACTATTTCACTTCTATGCAAGTGCATTTAGTTCAAATACCATAAAAAAGCGAGAAAAAAGCTCCCTTTGAAAGTCACACCTAAAAGGTGAGAACAGAATATATCATTGAAATAACCAAAATCTGTCATCTGAATAGCAGCTCTCAGAAACATCATTTCTGTATATTGTCTATTCTGCTTGACAATGAGTTCACAATAAGCAGCAAGCACCAGGACATCTTAGCTCACCACTTTGAACTTAAAATCTATTGCTTCATCTTCCACTACTGGGATACCAGTCTATTGAGTGTAACTCTTACAGGAACAACAGGTAACCATATCAAGGATGTTGACAAAAATTGAATTTTTTCTTATTTTTCAGGGAAGGAAAAAAGAAAAAAATAATTGCCAAACTATGTTAATGCAATCCCAGTTCACTTTTATCAAACATTGATCGTTTATATTTTGTTTTCTGTAGAACAACTAACAATATGAGTCAAATAAAAAATGATTTACAAAACCCCAAACTATTTAGGGCAGCAAATTTAGGCCCCAGTCTACACGTATAAAGGGATACGATATAAATCTGAGCCATGACTGTCAAATTCCACTGAGCCAGGGGGAGGCACACATTATACAACCCACATGTGATTGCTGGCTTTCAAATTCACATTGTCCACGCCAACTTCAGCATAGCACATTTAGCTGATTTTAAGAAAGAAAATTCTGTTCCATGTGTTAAAAACAAGTATAAGAATTTTTTTTTAATTTACATTTTTCATAACAAACTTTGTAATTGTATATGCACATATAAAGAACAGTGTGTTCACAGAAATAAATGTACAGGATGCTGCTTTTGTGACTCATTAATTTCCCGATTTATTCTGGACATTCTGCATGACAGATAAATTGTTTAGTGTGATATGGCTTTTAAATACTTTAACAAATACGCAATACATCTATTAATTAAAATATATGAAAAATTATCAAATGCATTCAATCTAATGTAAACAGCATTAGCATGTCAGATATCTGTTTAATAAGAGGTAACTAAAAAACTAATCATAAAGGACTGCTGGATACACATAAAATGTAACATTTAAAAAAAAACTTTAAATATTGAAATTTAAGGCATTTCAGAAGCAGAAAAATAATGTCAATAAATACGTTTGAAATAAAGTGCCACAGAAATGTTATTTTCTCTGCTGAAAAAAGAGTATCCTATTTCACTGGATCCTGTTTATCCAGTGAAAATAAAAATATAATTTTAAGCAATAAATAACACTTATTTAATACTCAAACAAATATAAATATTTTATTAAGAGACATTTTTGAATGTGAATCAACTTGTGAGAATAGTACAAATTATATTATTATAAATGTCTACCATTTAAGCCTCTTTCGGATTTAAGAAACGTTTCTGATGGGATACAAATTGTTTTCTTATTAATTTACTATCCCCTGTATTCCTTTCTATCTGGCTCTTCATCTCATGTGTGTAATAGCATGCCCACAAAGATTCTGTTTTTAAACCTACAGAACCAGAAATAATAAACATATTACCCTAAGATACAAGATGTACCTTCACACACGGAAAATCTTCACTGACGCACCACACATTGGGCTTTGAGAAACGTTTTGACTCTTTCAGATCACTATGGTAATTATGGTCTTACCTACAATGTCTTCATAAGCATTTTCTTCTGAGGTGCTTTTGGAGCTTAGGTGATTATGGGTCTCTAACGGGGGCGTACCATTTTCCGTGGGTGAAGACGGATATGAAGACTGGAGACTTGCCGCATCTTCAGACTCAAAGGACTTTCTGGTCAGCAAAACAGGAAACAACAAACATTTAAAACCAAGACTCTCGGAATACATTTGAATCTGTCAGCATGCACCGAAGAAATCTTTAATGCTTTACAGGTATAACTCATTTCATGCACTCTCAACTCTTTGATAACAACCAATCCCCATAGTAGATGAAACCAAATCTTGCGCTATAAAGAGAGCTGTGATCATTGATGTCTCAACTACATTCATTTAGAATTTCAGTTAAAAAAACAAACAAAAAACAAAAGTCAATAGGTGCAGCAGAAAAAGAAATGTCAGGCAATCATTTAGGTTTGTGCACATCTCAATATGGATCACCTATATTCATCAATTGATACCTGAATTATACCTACACTTGACCTATAACTTTGTCTCTAAGGAGGTAATTACGAAGCCAGCAGTTTGCACAATGGGCTATTCATTTATGACATATTGCAGGCATAGAAATGATCCCAACAATATTTAAGGGGCAAACTACAAAAGGCTTTGATTGTTGATTCAATCTGCCATGCTGCAGTTCAATTGGTCCTTCTCATTTCATAAGCATTTTCGCAATGGTCTGTAAATACGGGAGTGAGGCACCCTAATGCAGGTCCCCAGTTTTTGTTGTGAATTTAATGGCATACAGTATCTGTCCCAGTGTGAAGCTCCGTGCTGCATGGTCTTTGCAGACGAGCAATTTCAAAATTGGACAGAAAAATAACTTTACAAATGCAATAGACTTCCGCCGTTTCATTCCATCAATTTTCAAAAGCCACTTCATCCAATTTGGGGTCGTGGGGGAGCCAGTCCATCCCAGCAAGACAGGGCACAAGGCAGGACACACCCTAAATAGGATGCCAGTCCACTGCAGGGCAGGCTTCCAGTACTTACAAGCCTAATTTATACAGATTTTTACAACATAAAGTCTCTAGTTACGACTCTAAGAGCCTGCATGCCTTATTCAATGCTAAACTTGTTTGATTGCTAACCTGCAGTGACAAGTAAAGCTTGCATATGCATGTTTTATTTGTGAAAACAAATAAGTCCTAAAAAGTCTTATGTACCAACGGCAGTACATTTTTCCCTCTTATTACTTTGACGATATTAGGCAAGTCACCACATTCAAAGTAAATTGTAACTATTTCAGGCCTGTAGAAGCTCTCATGCAGGCTCAGGCCTAAAACACATGAAACACTAAAAAACAAAACACACTACTATAATGCAGAAGTGCCAGAGTGAAATCTTTTTTGACTAGCATCTGCATTTATATCACAGGAAGCAATAGGGAAAAGAGAAATTAATTAATACACTTTATCAGATAAGTTCTGAATTTTGGGGGTATTATTCTTTAGTTTCAGATTTAGAATAAGTACATCAAAGGGTTAAACTTTCCACAGAAATTCATAGCATATATGTATTTTGTTTTATATAATGGCATTTCCACTCTCTACCAATCTATTTTGAACTTCTTGAAAAGATTATCAAGTTTTCAGCTTTGTTTCAGAGAAGACTCTTTTTAAACTAAACATTTTTAACAGGATCTTATTACAATATTACACTTAATGATCTCTCCATACATACTGTTAAGAGTGATTTTTAGTTAATAGAGGAGCTTTTATTTCAAAATTATTGTTTTCTAAGATCCATAACATTGGTGTTAATGAATGCCTTATTCCTCTATTTATATTAACAATTGATTTTTAGAAGTCCTGAACCACAGTCAAAAGGCAAATAATCATATTTACAACTACAAGTCTTAGTTGTGCAAATATATAAAAAGGAGCCACTTGTTAGTAAGAAACCAAAATGAGTGAATATTTCAGTAAAAATTTTCCGTCTTTATGTCATCAAATGAAAGCAGACTAGACAAAAACTGAACACAAAGATGACCAAAGTTAATACATTATACTCATGGTTCATATTCGTCTCTCAGTAATACGGTATGAGCTCAGCAATACAGCAGTCATAATTCACACACTAAATCAACATAAACAAAAAGTATGGTAAACAGCAAAACATTGACCTGAAGCCTTTGCCCCCTGATAAATTCTCAGTATGTGTTTGATATGCTAAGCACTTCAAGCTAAATAAATGTACTGTCACTGAAAATCTCACATGGGAGTAAAAGAATTCACACTACTCCTGATTTTTTCTCATATTAAATAAATAAACATTCCTCTTTCTTGTAACTTCATAAATCTTTTTATTTCTTCTGTCCTTTTGTGATTTTCCAGCAGCGCGGTTTCTGTGCAGCACGTTCAACAGACCAGATACACAAATTCTTTCATGGTCTGAGAATTCAATTTACAGAACAATATTAATGTTATGCCAATAACAGGTCTCCTTCCAAGGAAAACTAGATTGAAGTCATGCATCATTAATAAGCAATACTTTCAATTATGTTTTCGAAAACATTTTTGTTGAAATTCCTTGCTGTTACACCCCAAAAAGACACTGCCCCCTGAAATTTTGCACAGAAAGATAGAATATGAATACATCTTCATACGTTTTATTTATACAACCTATTTTCTTCAATTGCTCTCAATTACTGAGGTAAAATTGCTCTTTTACAATGAAAAATAAAAAACTGCAGAATTAAGTCAATCATATTCCTCACCAGCTTCCTATTAGTTTTAAAACATTGATTTTTTTATACATGCTGTTGCAACATCCATTTCCAAAAGAAAACATAGATGCATTGTTTTTCTTTCCTAATTTATATCCATACATTCAACTATTTGCCTGCAGAAATCTGCCAAAAACAAAATACTGAAACTTGTACTACACAAATTAATGGGTGGTTTGTCTTTTCTGATATACTGTAGCAGCTGGACACCATGCCTGAAAAACCATTTAGGGTTGACTTGAATGACAAAGTGCTCAAGGAAAGAAACTATGAGTCCACCTCGCAGAAATGATAAAAGAGAAACGCAACAGGAAAATGTGTCTCACCTGTTCTGGAGCTTCTTACTGAAGCTGCCCTCTTTCTTCTGCCTCTGTGTGATAGGGGGAGCAGGGGTTGAGGGGAGAGGGGGAGGAGAGGCAGAGGGTGGGGTGGGAGGTAGACCATTGCTTGGCATACTCTTATGGTTTCCGTTTGCCTCGTACTCGAAGGTGCGCTTGGGTTTTGGCACAGGATTCACGGGAGTGCTTCCTGGGATATCGGGAAGTAGCTCTGGGCTACAGGAGCGTCCCGAACTCATACTGAACCTCTGCTTTACTTTCGCCAGCTTGTCAGTCCCAGGGGTGCAGTCTGGTTCTGTTACCACAGAACTGATGCTGCCCCTTTTGCTAGTGCAAGTGCTGTCTGAGTCCTCAGGGGGGCCGATTGTGAAGCTTTTTTTCCGTGTCTTGTCCGGTGCATAGCAGCTGCTGGGGTATTGCGGCGGGCCCCGGCCTGGGCTCTCTTTGAGGGCCTGCTCAATCTTTTGTATCCGGTTCAGGACAGCAGATGTCTCCTTCCTCGTGGAGGAGCGGGAGAAAAGCCCCAACGTCTCTGTCTTGCTCAGTCTCTTTTCAAACCTTTTGGGGGTCTCTCTGTCCAAGGCCTCCTCCTCTTCGGTTTCAGGGTAGGAGCACTCAGAAAACGTTGTGCTCATTCTCCTTATGCCCTTGAAGTCAAAGGTCTTCTCACTGCACGGCGATGACAGAAGGCTCGGGCAGCCCTCACTGCCCCCCACTCGCTCGCCCAGTGGTCTCTTGTCCAGGCAGAGACTCATCCTAGACGGAGCGGCCTTCCTGCACTCCCATTCGGAAATCTTTTTGCGGATGCCGACTGCCTGGGAACAGACGCTGCTCCTGCTGAGGGAAAGGCTCCTGTGGCTGGAGGCCGGTCCCAGGGAAAGCGTGCTCCAGCCCAGCTGGCTGGTGCTTATTCCAGCCCCAGCTGAGCCTTCCTGCAGGTTCTCCTTCTGGTCCTGACCTCCCACCCCCGGAGGTTTGTAGATCGATAACTTGTTGTCCAGGCAGCCGATGCTCACGGATTTCAGGAGTCTGCTCTGTGATTCGATGTCAGAAGGCAGTGTGGAGCAGCTCCTCAAAGTTGACGCTCTGTTGCTCCAGTTCCTCAGATGGAGGAGTTTGTTCCCTGCAGCCTTGGCATACCTGCTCTGCTGGTAGGAATCTTCACTGTCACTCAGAGGGTGCGCTGGCCCTTTCACCGGAGAGAGAATGGGAGGTGGAGATGCAGACTGGCACCTGCAATGAGAGCAGGGAGGGAAATTAGAAACGTCTCTGTGTTATTGTTATTGGGCTTTTTTTGTTCCCTGTACTTTTCCTAAAAGAAGCCCTTAGAAAAAAAAGACAGCCAGAAAGCCAATCAACTGTAAAGCATTTACCAACAATGTCTTTCACCTTTGTTGACTGCATAATGCAGGAAACTAGGCGTGGATAAAGGGAGTTAGCTCAGGTGTGCTGTGCCTGCCAGTTGATTAATCATTGCCCAAGCTCACAGGATTTGGAAAGCACACACTTTCTTAAGTACAAAAAAAGCAGAGTATTAAAAAAACACAGACTTCCTTTAAGATAGAAGTTAAAATGAAATAGTTGGCCACCGTAGTAAAATAATCTATGGAAACTACTGCAGTAATTTGACAAGATGTTGGCAGTATATAATTGTACAGAAGGCCAAAATAAATTGAAAAGAACAGCATAAAATGCATGTGTGGACTTTTCCACATTATTAGCATTATGCCGGTAAAACTTAAGCAGACCTCACACACACCGAACCGGACTGAGACATTTAAAAGCCATACCTTAAACCACCCAGCTGAATCGGGCAACAATCTTAGACTTCATTATTCCCTAAGACAGAGAGCAGAGGGCCTTGTCTTCTCTGCTGTCTTGTGCTAACAGCTTCACTGTACATTGAAAACTTTGAACCAGGACTACAACCCTATTGTTCACTTCCAAATGACGTAGTTTTCTGCAACCAGCGCGCTGAGCAACAGGATTATAAACCTTGCTGACCTCATTTCAGCTTCACGCCTCTGAAATATAAAGTAAAAAAACTTTCTCAACAGACACAATCTCTACTGCTGTTCCAAGAAGCATGCTCCTGTTTTGAAATTTAAACCCACGACTCATTGATTCACAGTAATCTGATGTCACAGAGTTTGTCTGAACAATAAAGGCCGGCTGGGAGAAAGGGATGACAAGTTTGAACAGATAACACTCCACCTTCCGATGCCCTCAGACTCCTGACATTCCCAGAAGCCACACACGGACTTGCACCTGAAAACCTTCAGGGTGTCTTTAAGAAGGGACATGGTATTTCCAAACCGCTTCTTCAGAAGGAACTACACTGTCTAAAGTATTTCTTGGACACTCTCTCAGAAAAGCTTCAAAACAGCGCACCATTTATCTGATCATAGCTACTAGAGTTAAAGCCAAGAACCACATAAAATTACTGATAATGAAAAACCCTTTCTCTGTTTCATTTTGTAATGATTTCTTTCTGAAATAAGCCAACCTAGGTTTTTGCATATTTTAATACAGAAATCCCTTTTTAGAGTAAAATGGAATTGGATGTTTTATACCTTTCAGAAAGTAAGGAAACACGAATTGATTACAAATTTCCTTTTACTTACATAAGTATATTACGCTGAATAGCAGATGTTCTCCCCTATGTATTTTATTAAATTCAAGTACAGATTTGTTCCATGTATTGTACAATATGTCTCCAGTTATACTTTATTTAATGCTCTTTAAAATATTGACACTCAAAAAAGGTGTCTACAGTACTACCATAAATGAGCAACTCTTGTACATAAGTGTTATAAACCAAGACATATTATTTGGAAGACAAAATAGACAAAAATATTTGGAAGCAATGCATTTGGAAATTATGAAATCTGAGAAATGTATACCCATGCAACTGCATGTAACTGAGAATAGTGATATTTACTTCTAGTATATAATTCTCAAAGTAAAAGTAAAAATTGGAGCTTTGCCAAATTAAAGAATGTTTTTTTAAATGACAGTACTGTATGCATAAATAAATTTTAAATTAAGATCAACTAGTTGTTGAACTCAACAACTAATTATAAACAGCACAGCTGGAAGGTATAGTACTATATAATTAACTAAAGTACACAGATTTTGCTATTATAAATCAGCTATTAAGGAAACAAATGGCACCAGCACTATGTCATTAACAGAACTATACCCATTCAACAATAAATCAGCACTGATTTATGATGGCTGAATTAAGCATGAGCAAAAAAAGAAAGGCATGCTTTCATCAAGTCAGTGCAGACACCAAGAGACGTCTATGCTTGTTGCAAAATTAAACATTTTAAAGCAATATATTAAAAAGACAATTATTCAGAGAACTTAAAAAAGAAAATGCTTTTCATTTTATAGTTCAGTCGTTGCATATCCAGAAAGTAAGGACTAAGAGATAATAATAAATGCAACACCACTACAAATGTGACAAGAAAACTAGAGGCCTGTCTGCATTAGAGCACAATGGCTTTTTAACCTTAATAGTAACCATAGTTCCACTGAAGAAAAAAGATGAAAGTACACTTATATCATGTTATATAGCTCAACATGAAGTCAATTTCCAATAGGCTGTGGTTATAAATTGTAAAACTCAATTACATTTAAATAGAAACACATGAAATATAGTTTGACATTTTGTTAAACAAAAAGAAAAGAGGATACAACCATTTTAACAGAGAAAAAATGGTCACAGCCCGTATTGTGTAGTGATTGAAGTTTCCTGAATTCACCTTAATTATCTTTGTTCTCCAGACAAACCTAAATTATGCTTACAGAATGAGAATGTGCATTGATTAATCTTTATTTACAGGATCATTAAACTTTATCCCCTATGATTTATTTGGTCCTTATATACTTGTTCTGTGACCTATTGATTGTGGTTAAACATAATACACTGCAGTTTTATGCCTTAAGACCAGTTGATGCAATGTGTTACATTCCATCCAAGTTCCATTCAAGCGATGGCTGTAATCAAATATGTAATAATGAAATTCTCTTGAAATGTTCACAAAATGGCAAAAAAATAATCAAATTGGACTAGGGCTAATGATTAATTTCCTCCTTTACGGCTTTTGATGATACTTCAAATAATTAAAGCAAAGGAAAAATGTTTTTTTTGTGTGTTTGTGCAGGAAACGGGCCAGCCTCATGATTCAGACTCATAATGCTGAATTCCTGTGCACAGTGTGCAACTTTGCAGGAAATACTTTAAGAAAGGTTCTAAAAATTAAGCCTATCTAAAAAAGACCTAGCTGGCTTTGCTTCTGTGATGGAACCTGAGGTCACTGTAATGAAGTTTTCTATTAATCCCTCAGAGTATAATAGCTGATTGAAATAAAGATGAAGCTACTGTACATGTTATCCATCTGAATCTTTCTTAGTGCATTCATTCAAGACAGTTGCTTGGTTTTCACATTTATTTAAATAAATTGTAGCTAAAAGAGGAGGTAGCACTTTATAAAGTGTTATAAGTACTTCTTTTTAAGACAAAAAGAGCTCCAGCTTTGTGATTAGTGTACACTAAGGAATGAGGGAGAGCGTACAGCATACAAGGATTGTCAATGCACCTGATGCAGTTGAGTGAAACTGGAATTTGATTCCTCCTACTGAAATAAAATTAATAGACATGGACACCTATCCACGCTTACCAAAACTGTAACCACGAGGCGCCCTAGTCGGCTAGTAAAAATGAATCGGGCTGATGCAAAGCCAATCACAAAACACAGTCATGCAGATAAAGATTTGAAAGCAATTGAATCCAGTTACATTGAACTAAGAGGCTCATTGTGAGCACTTTGTCATGGTCAGATGGCACAGATACAGCCGGAACTCCGAACAGGTTCCTTCACTTTGGCAATGAGATGGTTACTGTAACGGAAGGCTACAAGAATTTTCCAGGTAAGAATTCTCTCCTTGAGAGTTTCTGAAAATAAAATAGCAAAAGTTCTCATAAACAGGATTCCAATTACAGTGTTTGTGCTTTTGCTTGAATTATACTTCAGAAAACATTTACTCTACCCATGTATTAATCGCTCGAGCGACTATTAAATGTTACAGTATAGCTCAGCCATTTTAAAATGCCATTAAGCCTTTTTTCCACCAATGACTGAAGTTCTTTAGAAAAGGAGACAGGAACATAACAGAGTCAGTAAATGAGAGGAAGCCATTACCCCATCTAGCTTGTTTGGTTCCTTGCAGTCAATTGGCTGTATGTTTTAACAACTTGGATGGGTACGTTTGTTCCAGACAACCCTTTGTGTAAAGAAGTGCTTCCTGATCTCAATTTTAAATTGAGTTTTCAAGTTGTACTGTTGGCTCTGAAGACATTGGGTCGTCTTCAATGGTTTTGAGGATTTTGAAGACGTGAATTCACGTCTTCCCGAAGTCTTCACTGCTCAAAACCAAACAGATTAGTTTCATTTCTAGCAATATACTTTTGGAAAGTTGTGATCAAAATTGTATGCGGTATTATTAATGACTGTTTACTTATTAAATATTTAACAAAGCATCCTTTGATTTAAACTCTGATACTGTATATATTATAACATTCTGTGTGCCTTTTTATTGCTTCCCCACATTGTCAAGGAAATTAAAATGATGTGTCAACTATAATGAAATCTTTTTATAGGTAGCTTCCTCAAGCTGAGAGTTTCCAATATTGTATATTTATCTAGTTTATATTTGTACTACCTGCGTGTAATATTCTGCTAGTCCTCCTATTTTAATATTGTCTGCAATCATAACTAGCTTACCAACTACCCAGAACACAGATAATTGATATAAATGAAGAACATCTGATTCCTGTGGTAGACCACAAATTATGTCACCCCAACACGAGCTTTCACCTTCTAATTCTGTCTGTTATCTCTCTGCTATCTCTCTGTTCTTGCCGTTTAACACTACAATCTACAAGCAGCTGCCAATACCGTTACCTGGGGAGGACTCATGAGAAAAACATCAGAGCATCCTTTTTTCTACTCCTTCAGGATACTCTAAAAATGAGCAACTATTTCCTGTGGACGGTAACAATGACTATGAACTGAACTGATTTGTTCCTTTTATTTCTTCCTTTTTGCTTATCTGTTTTTCTCTGTGTAACAATCTGTTGTTCCTTCTTAGATACTTAACTTTTCCAGTGGCTCCTCTTACTCAGCAATTTGGAAACAACAATTATTATTACGGACAACATCCTA